CCTGTCCGACCCCTCCAGCAACCTGAAGCCGCACCTGAGGAACAAGAACGCCGACATCCTCACCTCGCCCGACGTGGGGCTCCTAAAACTGGCCTCGCCCGAGCTGGAGCGGCTCATCATCCAGTCCAGCAACGGGCTGATCACCACCACGCCGACCCCCACGCAGTTCCTGTGCCCCAAGAATGTCACGGACGAGCAGGAGGGGTTCGCCGAGGGCTTCGTGCGGGCCCTGGCCGAGCTGCACAACCAGAACACGCTGCCCAGCGTCACCTCGGCCGCGCAGCCCGTCACCAGCGGGATGGCACCTGTGTCCTCCATGGCCGGCAGCACCAGCTTCAACACCAGCCTGCACAGCGAGCCCCCCGTGTACGCCAACCTCAGCAACTTCAACCCCAACGCGCTCAGCTCCGCGCCCAGCTACAACACGAACAGCATGGGCTACGCGCCCCAGCACCACATAAACCCACAGATGCCCGTGCAGCATCCCCGGCTCCAGGCGCTGAAAGAGGAGCCACAGACTGTACCTGAAATGCCCGGGGAAACCCCTCCCCTGTCCCCCATTGACATGGAATCACAGGAGAGAATCAAAGCCGAGAGAAAGCGCATGAGGAACAGAATCGCGGCGTCCAAATGCCGGAAAAGGAAGTTGGAAAGGATTGCCCGGTTGGAGGAAAAAGTGAAAACTTTGAAAGCCCAGAACTCAGAGCTGGCATCCACTGCCAACATGCTCAGAGAACAGGTTGCACAGCTTAAGCAGAAGGTCATGAACCACGTCAACAGCGGGTGTCAGCTCATGCTCACACAGCAGTTGCAGACGTTTTGAAGAGACGCTTCAGCGGGAACTGTGATGTTGTGGTACAACTAAAACGGGCGAAATCCAAAGCGGCAGAGGCGTAAAGCTGATGGCAAAGGCTGGAAGGCTGTCCTGCCTGTGCTCTGAAGGCGCATGTGTGGAAAGACTGGCAAAGCCTTCGGCTGGAGCCGGGAGTGGAGCGGCCGGCGCCGCGCCGGGAAGGGCTATTCCTGCTCGGATGAGATGTCAGATCTTCGTTTAACATTGACCAAGACCTGCATGGACCTAACATTCGATGATCATTCAGTATTAAAGGTTAAACTGCAATAGAAACTGTAGATTGCTTTATGTAGTATTCCTTAAGAAAAAAAAAAAACACAAACAAAGTGGGAGGGAGGTTTGTGGGAGGCTGATTTAAAAAAAAAAAAGAACTATTCTGCCTGCCTTCAAGTAAATTGTGTATGTACATATCTTTTTTTATTTTATTTTATGAAAGTTGATTAATGTCAATAAACTACTTCATGACTTTGTAAGTTATTTTTATGTTGTTTATTTGGGCACTGCCCAGTATTGTTTGTAAATAAGAGGCTTTTTTTTAGCACTCTGAGTTTACCATTTGTAATAAAGTATAATTTTTTAATGTTTCTGTTTCTGGAAAAAATTCTAGAAGGTTCTATTATATTTAAGAAAAAATAAAATAATTAAAATGTATTTCCCCCTCACACTTTTTTTTTTTTTGCTAGTGGCTGAGTTGGGAGAATGCCCTTTGCGCTGGGCTCTGAAGGGTAGAGGGATTATGCTGAACTTGCTGTCTAACTCCAGACATGTCCTGGAGAAAGTGAGAGGAGATGGGGAGAAGCCAGATCCTGGTCACTAAAACAATACAACTTTTTGGGTTGTCCTGGAGTTTTATTTCCCAATTGTAGCCTGAGTGCCTTGGCTGCCACATTCCCAGGCCCAGTTCAGACAGCTGACTGACTTCAGGCAGGGTTGGAGAGGGGTAGAAAGCCAGGGAATGAAACTGTTCCATAACTGGAGCAACTGGCTACTTGATCTGACAGGCTTTTTATTAAATTAATGCCCTCAAGAAGATAAGGCAAGCAGTTGTACTTCAAAAAAATGCTGTAGGCTTCAAAATAAAAATATTCACCTTTATTCCTGTGTTTTTTTTCCCAGGTAGGAGGTGATCCTTGTTTGTTAATATTTATGGCAATGCTGTCAGCAGTAAAATAATTTTACAACCCTTCCCCTGTCTCTAAATCCTTTCCCTTTTGGGTGTTACTCTGGATTCTAAACTTTTTGGCAATAGGAAAGCTGGGAAAACTGAAGTTAGTGGGAAATTAAAAGAGCAACTTGTTGAAAAACAGCAACTCCTGTTGCTTGTTTCCAGCAACTTGCTGAAAACAGCAACTTCTCTAGCACTTCCCAGGTATTTTTTTATAATGTAATCTTGGGGTTTAGTACAATGACAATATACAGATATAGCTTAGAAACCTGCTACATTACTTGGGAGGGGGAGGGTGTGGAACAGTTTTATACCAGGATTTTCAACATGGTACCCAATTCATTTAATTTAATAAACATATTTAAAGGAGACCAGATGTTTTCCTGCTTGCTGTTCGAAGCCTAACAGCTAGGAGGAAGTAGATGATACAAAAAGACAGCCAGAAAATATTAGAAATTCATTATTCTCAAGCAGGCATTATTCTAAGGAAAAAAGTCTTTTTTCCTTGGAAGAGGAATAAACATAATTTTAATTGAAGTGACAGTGTTGCTTAAGGTCACTTCACAAGATGACTAGATAATTTTATATATATACATACCTTTACTGTTATCAAAACGATACCCTGAACCTTGCAAGTACTGTGGGTCAGTTCCTTACAGGAAGCATAGAAGTATCTTCCCTTTAATGTTTTTTCCTTGAAAATGATATACATTTTATCACAAGGTGTTGTGTTAATGTTTAAAATATGGTAATCACCTTCCACATCCCAATCCAAGTGTCAAGGTAGGCACTGCTGGGCTGGTGTTTGCTGCTGTCAGAGGAGTACAACTGTAACAACACCAACCAAACAAAGGGTTACTAGGAGGATTCTGGAGTTTGCCAAGAGTACATTTTGCTGATGTCAGCAACCCGGAAGGTAAGTTGATTTTGACCATATGTAGGAATAGACAGCAGAGGGATAATACACAGCACTGCTGGGTGTGGTTTTACTGGGATTTAGCAAGTGCCAACTAGCAAAATAAGCAGGGCAAGGAGATTAATTACCTGCAAAGGTGCATGTTTAACTCTCAGCAGCACTGGGTTATGGAATAGATGTTACTAGCAAGCATTTTGCTTAATCACCTAATTACGTAAAAAATAAATACATTATATAAAATACTATGTTAATTAAACACAGCTGAGTGACAGTCTGCTCCACCCTGCCCTCATACACACACAGACATTGCAGTTGTGTGTTTGCTCCCAAGGGTGACATTCTGTAGCAAGGGCAAAAAAGTCCCTGAGCAATGGTTGGTTCCTGGGACACAAGTTGTTGGTGGCCAGTCAGAGAATCTCCCAAGCAAGGTGGGGTTTAGTGCCAGTTGTGCAGTTTCACAGGAGACCGGGAGCAATTTAAGATGAACCCTTTCTTTGGTCCCACACCAAAATTGAGGATCAGGCCTAGGACAGGGCAAAGTAGGTTTATATTCCCTCCACCTCCATGTGTTTTGTAAACAGCGTGGTGGGCCAGGAGCCTGTTGCTATCTGGTTCACTTCAGCCCAGATTAGAATCCAGCACTCTCAGGATATTAGCAGATCACTCTGTGATCAATACCCACAAGGGCAATGAAAGCTGTGCCTGCCTTTATATGTGGTGAAATGCAAAGTTTTAACACTTACTGAACTGCCAAGATTTAAATTGCCTAATGCGCTGTGGGCCTTACTTCTATAAGGAATAGTCAGTTCTCTCTGAGATTCAGAGAGAAACTCTTTTTGTTGCCCCAGCTGTACTCACAAGGGAATATTTTGCAAATAACAGCATTGTGAACATGTATTTTGTTTGGCTGTGAGTGTTGTCAACGGATTCAGGAAGTGAAGTCAGAAAAAGGCAGGGTTTCAAACAGGGCAGGCTGCACAGAAATGCCTGGGCAAAGAGCCTCTAATCAGAACAACATGTTTGGGACACAGAATATTAATTAGAATTTAGGTCTCTATTGAAACCAACAAAACCCTCGCACTTCCATCGCATGAACAGAAGTGAGCTACAAAGGGGGGTTTGACAACCATTACTGTACCATTTTAAATCCAAAGTACTTGTCATTATAGGAATAACAGCAAAATCTAACTTATTCTACAGTGGGACAGAATTACACACCAGCCAGTTTCAATCTCAGAACACAGAAGTTACTTGTATGTACTTACATGTACTCCTACTTCCATGTACTCCTACATATCTGTAGGTCTAAAAAATACCAACCTCAAAACAGAGCACTTTAAATACCAGCCTAAGGCAGCACATGCCCATTTAATAGCGAAGTCAGGACCAAGAGATGCCTTAGCTGTCTTTATTTTATAGGAAGCTGTCAGGAAATCCAGACAACATCCCTCCAAACCTGTGTGAAAAATGACTGGCAATTTTGTCCCATGCTAAGGTCTAAGAAATCCATTACAATAATTACTTTCTGAAAAAACAGCTTAGGCTGGGACAAGCTCGGGCGCTGCTGGAGAACCCCACGCTGTGCTGTGTGCCATGGCCAGGAAAGTACAAGGCAGAACTGAGAAACCCCCACTTATCTTTAATATCAAGCCTAGTCCTTTATCTGTTCTCCACCTCTTCCTCCCTACTCCTATTCCCAAGACTTTGGTGTACCAGCATGGAGTTACTCACATCAAGAACTAAAACCAGTTCAGGCAAAGCTGGCTGAGTAGAACAAAAAAAGTTGCAAACCTCATGAGTGAACACCAAATATTGCTAACAGGCAGCTGGACAGCAAGGAAATAACATTGGAAATTACCATATACACAAACCCCTCATGAAACAGAACATACCTTCGGAACATCTGGCATTAGGGACAGGGAAGGAAGGTGGTATTAGCTTTGCAAGGAAAGGAAACCTCCAAGATGCAGATGGTTTGCTTTTTGGGAAGATAATTCTTCCAGAGAAGTGCTTGTTCCTTAGAATTGCATGCTCTGCCAACACCAGACCTGTACCCAAGGGCTGGTGGCAATCCTAATTCCACACATCCACATTAATGGTGACACACACAGTGTAAGGTGTCCCCTGAACAGAGAATGTGCCTCTCACAAAGAAAACTTGTAGAAAGTCATCATATAATTCACCGTGAAAGCCTCTGACTACTGAAACACGTCTGGAGTGGTTTTGCACAGCAGGGCCCTCTTTTCCAATTCTGCACGTTACTCCTTGCAGGACATTTTTGTTAAGAAACAATGGAACTACAAAAATCAAATTAGACTTTCATCAAGGTCCCTTCTGTCCTTGAATATTCTGAACCACTAGAAGCACAGTTACAATGGGGAAGAATGGCGTTTTAAAAAGTTAATTAAATATTGAAAACACTGCTAATGTTTTTAGTTATAGAGTAACAACAGACATGGGGAGAACAAAACAAAAATCTAATTCAGAAAAATGAGTGAGTAACCTATTTTTGAAATCTTACAAAACTTGATAGGTCATGACTGACCTGATTAATCCAAATCTCTATAAAACACCTAGAAACTAACTCTGTAAACAAAAGTGGAGGAAGAACTAATATTTATTTTCCTCAGCCTCACAATTATTTTCTGGTTTGCGTCTTACATTCTCCAAGCAATCTTTAAGTTGAATCCTTAAACAAAAGTACCAGCAACTTGCTGGAAATTCCTCTGAACTGTGAACTTTATTCCTTATTCTCTTTTAAATTAAAGCCCATTCCTGTGAAACCTGGCAGCATAATAACACCAAAGATGTGGGAAACAGGATACAATTCCAGCAGATGGAGCTCAAAAGCTAACAGTCCTGGAAGCAACTGCACAGATGCCTGGAAGAGGAGCCTCTGCTCAGGTGGTGGAGTAGCCAAAAAAGATTTCAGATGAAACCTGTTATCATGTATGTGTAGTAAAACCAGAATAATGTTACCAGCTTCCCTGAATTCTTAAAATAATCACTGGCATGGATAGGGAGATCCTACATCATTTTAGTCATAGAATATCCACAGTTATTTCAGGGGACACTGAGTGTTCAAACACTCAGTGTTTGTTTTCTGAACTCTCATCCACTGTGATAAATTAGCTGGTGTGGTTTTTAGATGACTGCTGTTATCACACCTTTGTGTCCCAGATAACAAGCCACGAAAACTTGCACCATGCAGGGATTATCCAATACATGTCGCTGTTCAAACTCACAGCACTTGTATTGAGAAGAGATAAGTGAAGGAGTTGTGAATCTCTGCTGAATGGGTCACTGGTAGGTTTAAAAGCAGGGCCTGCCTAGTTCAAGTGATGCAATTCTCCAAGTGTGCCTGCAAATCAAAGCACCTTGGCAACTATGGAAAGATCATTTTCATCTGTGTCCAAAAGTAGTTCTAGAACTTTTAACAGTAGCAAGAATTGTGAGCTGCTGCATCCACCTTGTGAGCTCTGTTGGTTGTTTTATTTTCAGCTTGGAAAGTGAGACTTAAAAAGCCATAACACTTTACAGATATAGCTCAGGAGTTTAACTCCTGACATC